GACCTGGAACTCACTGTGTAGCCCAGGCTGGTCTCAAACAGCGATCCTCCTGCCTCAGCCTCCCGAGTGCTGGGATTACAGGCGTGCGCCACCACGCCCAGCCTCTTTATAGGATTTTTTATCAGTCTATGACTTCCAAATATTTGTTCCTATTACATTTTTTTTTTCACTTCATTTATAGCATCCTTGGAGCATAAAAGTCTTTGGAGGTGGTAAGGATCAAACTCAGCACCTTCCGCTTGTGAGGCAGACATGGTGCCCCACTGAGTTACAGCCCCGGCCTGAACACAACTCTTATATTGATTGTATTTTTTAATCGTTCTTTTGCTAACTATTGCCAAGATTACAAAGATTCATACCTATGTTTTCTCCTAAGAATTTTGTGGCTTTAGCTCTCACATTTAGATAGCTGGTACTTTCTGAGTTAATTTTTTGTGTTTTGTAAAGTAGGGCTCCTACTTTTTTCTTTTTTCTTTTCTCCTTTTTTCATGTGGATATCCTGATGTCCCAGCACCATGTTTGAGAATATTCTTTCCCTCTTGCAATTTCTTGACACCTTTATTGAAAATGAACTAAATATATATTTAGAAGTTTAATTCTAGACTCTCAATTGTCTTTCTTTATGGTGGAACCGCACACACAGCCTTGATAACCATAGCCTGGAGGTACATCCTGAAGTTAGCCTGAGTCTTCAACTTGCTTACTTTTTATCGAGACTATTTTGGTATCCATTTCTCTTGGTCCACGTTTGCAGTACGTAATGATTACATCCATTGTGGGGACTTGGTACTCTGCAGACACACCTTAATTCTTCTTAATTCCTCTCCCCGTCCTCCCCGCATTCTTTGCATTTCGATATGGTTTTGGGGTCAGCTGTTAAATTTCTGAACATAAGGCAGCTAGGATTTTGATAGAGATGGAACCAAATCTGTAGTATAGTTTAGAGAACATTGCTGTCTTAAAATTCCACATCTTCAGAATATAGACAGGGAATGTCTGTCCTCTTACAGCTAGCTTTCAGTGGTGTTTGATACTTCTCAATGTACATGTTTTATACTTCTTGGGTTAGATTATTCCTAAGGATTTCATTTTATTTGTACTGTTGTAAGTTTCATTTTGAGAGTTTTCACTGCTGCTGTGATTTGTATATATTGACCTTATATCTTGAAACTTTGTTGAATTTATTAGCTCCAGTATTTTGGTTTTTTGTTTTGTTTTTCTGTATGAGTGTGTTCTCTATAAAAGTTTCTGTATTTGGAATTATGTCACCTGGTGAATACACTGTACCCCTTTGGGTTTGGTTTTCTTTTTCTCCTGAGTTGCTCGGACCACAGCTTGTGGGCAATGCTGAGTGGAGACGTCCTTATCCCATTCCCTGTCATGGCGAGAATGGTGTGATCTTTATCACGTTACTGTCGTTTGCTTCTGTTGTTAGTTTGTTGAGTGTTTTTATTTTCAAGGGACAGCAGATTTAAAATCCTTTTCCATTTCCTATTAAGATGATTGTGTAGGTTCTTCCCTTTATTCTATTAATACCTTGACAGACTTTTGTTAGATTGAATCAACCTCGCATTCCTGGGACAATTCCCACAGGGTCATAGTGTGTCACTTTTTGTTTTGGGGGTTGTTTGGTTTTTGTTGTTTTTTTGTTTTGTTTTGTTTTGTTTTTTTGTTTTTTGGTACTGGGTATCAAACTTGGGACTTTATGCTTTTGAGGCAGGCGGCAGAACCACTGAGCTAAATCCCCAGCCCGCATGTACTGTTTTTTAAATGTTGCTGGATGTGGTTTGTGAGGTGTTGAGGATTTTATTTCTCTTCATCAGGGATGCTGGTCTGTAACTCTGCTTACACAAGCAGAGTCTGTCTGGTTATGGTATCAGAATATAGTCCAAGCCACCTAGAATTAAGTTGGGAAGTAGTTCCAGTCCACTTTTCTTGAGAGTCTGCAAAGGGTTGGCATTAATTCCTGTTTGGACATTTGAAGGCAGTAGCCAGAGACGGGCTGGGGTGTAGCTCAGGAATATGGAAGAACACTTGCCTAGCAGCAGGTCCTGAGCTCCATCTTTACTACCACACCCACGCACACACGGAGAGAAGAATAACTAACGAAGCCATCCCATCCTGGGCTTTTCTGTGTGGAGAGTTTTCTGATTACTGACTGTCTTTTTTGCTTATGAAACACCCACTTGGATTTCGTTTCTTCTTGGTTCAGTTCCAGTGGCTCATTTCTCTAGGAATCTCTGTGTTGGCAAGGTGATGTATTTGTCATCTCCCCCTCGTCTGCGGTGTTCTCTTACAGTCCTTTCGTCCCTCTGGCGTAGGGGTAATCTGAGTCTTCTCATTTCAGCTCAGTTTATCATCTTGCTGATCTTAAACCAAAGCTTTTTGTCCTCACTTGTCACCATCCTCGCTGCCCTTGAGAGTGTAACACTGTTCCCGCAGGGCTTGGGTGAGCAGCACTTGAGCCGTGTGTGCTTCTCCTCACAGTTGGGAGTGCCGCTCTGCCCATCGGGCCGCAGGGCGGGGCAGTGGACCGGGGACTCGGGCACCACGGACTCGCACTCACACCCAGGCCACTGCTGCTGAGCTGACTGTAACTGCTGCTCTCTTCTCACTTCCATAACCCCATACAAGTGTGATTTGGTGAGGTGTGAGAACCAAAAACAGATTCCTTTCTTGTTGCAAAAGCAGTATTCAAAGCTGACCACAGAAACACTTGGCACAGTTGAACTCTGGCTGGAGGTGTGAGGAAGTGGGGACGGGCGCAGTTCAAGCTGACCTTGGCTGACTGTAGCCTCCGCTAGCCTCAGACTCGCACAGTCCTTCTGCCTCGGCCTCCTGAGTACTGGGGTTACAGGCAGGAAGTCCACTGTAGATTACTGTTACCTGGACTTTCCTACCCAGACCTCTAGAAAGGGTGGCTGTTTCTCTCTTACTCTGGGACACTTTGCCCAGAAACTGAGAACATCCATATCCAGCAGTGTTGGTGGGCTTCACACCTGCTGAACCTGGGAACTCCTCAGGGAGCTTGCTAAAACCACCAAGGGGTACAGCAGGGACAGAGGGAAAGGATGAAAGGGAAAGTAAGAAGAATTAAATGTTAATGTCAGTGGTACGTAAATGCACCAATTCCCCACAATGAATGCAAGCATGTACTGCAAACATGTACTAATAAAACTGTAAAATCAAAACCAAATTAATTAAAATAAAATAAAAAATACAAATTCCCAGCAGGCAGGTGCAGCCAGCGAAGTGCATACAACACAGCATGCAGGCATTGATAAGCAGGACTTCTGAAGAGTCCCAGGGGCTCCCCGGCTGGCTCTGTCTTCCAAACTGAGGACCCCACGCCTGCCTGCCTTAGCCTTTTCAGTTGTGCACAGAAGAAACTGCCTCAGTTCAACTTCCTGTCCTTTCCACATCCTAAGAACCAAAGCTAACAGACAAGTTCTCATCAGTGTTGTTTTGTCTGTCTTTATTTTTCATTTCCAAACAAGCTTTGCTGCTGTGGCATCTTCCCGAGAATCACTCTTCCTCCCCTTCTCCTTTTGCATCAGAGATATGAATCAAGTGCTCGACGCCTACGAGAATAAGAAGCCGTTTTACCTGTACACGGGCCGGGGCCCCTCTTCTGAAGCCATGCACGTCGGTCACCTCATCCCGTTCATTTTCACAAAGTGAGTAGGACATCGCATGATTTTTCTCGCTTGCCGGTGGTCCTTACAAGGCATCTGTGAAGCTGGCCAGACTGTACATTTCTGGGCTACTGAGCAGCCAGGTGTCGAGGCTGCACCTTCACAGCCTCCGCCTGTGCTGCAGGGCTCTGAGAGATGCAAGGCATGATGGGAGAGCAGCATTGCCATGCACTCGGCCAAGCCCACTGTCCCCACCTGCTCCCCGTTCCTGCACCGAACCCAGGTGCTGTGGGCTCAGGTGCCTGCCCACACCTCCACTGACGGCAGTGGAAGAGCAGCTGGTGCAGGTCCGGCACACGGGAGCCTCTTCGTGTGAAGCTGCAGATTTCATTCTCAGTCACCTAATGTACAGCTTGGTGTGCTCGCCTCAGCAGCACACTTGGAACGATAGTGTGCAGAGTGGAGAAATCCTAGGTTTCACAGGCAAGAAGTAAGCGGGATGTGTGTGTCCGTGCAGAGCAGCTTTGCTCGGGCAGGCGCCACACCCTCCCCCGTTCCCTAGGTGGCTGCAGGACGTGTTCAACGTGCCGCTGGTCGTCCAGATGTCTGACGACGAGAAGTACCTGTGGAAGGACCTGACCCTGGAGCAGGCCTACAGCTACACCCTGGAGAACGCCAAGGACATCATCGCCTGTGGCTTTGACATCAACAAGACTTTCATCTTCTCCGACCTTGAGTACATGGGGTAAGGAGAAGACACGCACTGCCTTTGGAGTAAGTGGGTGGTGACAGCCAGTCACTGTGGCCCAAGGGACCCGAGGCCTGGCGGTGCTTCTCTGTGTACATGTGGTGGTCTGCTTGCTTGGCTTCACTTAACAGTAGTTATGAAAAGCCACAGCTAGGTTTATGCACAGAGAGGACTTGGTAATGCCAGCACCGTAGGGACACTTGTCTCCTTTGTAACTATATTGACAGAAATTTAAGACAAGCCGAGTCACAGGGTGGTGGTGGCATTTGTCATCCTCGGCTTGGACAGGAAAGGACTCCTGGACTAGTGTTTCTTTCCAGGGACAGCCGATCTTAGGAGTCTCTCCCTTTTCACCGTACCTTTTTCCTCACAGAGCAGACTCACTGCTTACACAGTTCCCTCACCGCCCAGTTTTGGTGTTTGTTTTGTTTTTTGTTTTTGCTTTGTTTTGTTTTTTGAGACAGGGTCTTGCTATGTAATTCAGGCTGGACTCAAACTTGCAGCCATCCTCCTGCCTCAGCCTCCCAAATGTTGGGATTACAGGCCTACACTATAACACGCAGCTGATAGTACAGTTTAAGTCAGCCTTTTAACAGGTCAACACATTTAATTCTGAAAATTCTTTATTTTGGGGGCATTTTGTTTGTTTTGTTCTGTTGTGTTTTTTTTAATCAGGTCTCACTATGTCGTTCAGGCTGGCCTCAAACTCACAGGATCCTCCTGCCTCAACCTCTCAAGTGCTGGGATTATAGTTATACTCTTCCATGCCAGCTAAAATTTCATGAATTTAAATTTCTGAGGTCTTGGGCTTCATCCCAATGATTACCAAGAGATATACTACCAAAATAAGGCTCTGGTCAGTCCTCCTCACAAGAATACTAAAGCTAAAGCTCAGAAGTGAGGGCCCGGTGAGCGTGGTGGCAGAGCACTTGCCTACCACTCGTGGGGGCCCTGGGTTCCATCCCCAGCGCTGCAGGAAAACAGTGTTGACCCTACAGGCACTCCCTGCAGGGTGTGGGTTTAGGGGATACAAGCACTCCTGGCTTGGCTGGGCTATCTCACCCCAGTTCCTAGCTCAGTGCTGTCAGCACCACAGAGCATGGCCGCTCCTGCCTCCCTTCCCAGTGTTCTCTCTTGAGTGCTTGAGGCTGAGTGGTACCTTTATATCCACTGGAGCCGGGCGTGGTGGTGCACGACTGTAATCCCAGCACTTGGGAGGCTGAGGCAGGAGGATCACTGTGAGTTTGAGACCAGCCTGGGCTACATGTGAGTTCCAGGTCAATCTCAACTACACAGTGAGACCCTGTCTCAGAAAAACAAACAAACAAACCTTTATATCCACTGGAAGCATCAGATATTCTCATGCAAAAGCTGGCTGCTTATCCATTTTTTTCTTTTGTCTAGATGCCCCGAAAGCCCCAGGCAGTCCTAGGTGGGGCTTTTCAGGGGTGACTGGATCCCAGGGTATGAGATGCCTGGGTCAAGGGTGTGTGGTGATAGTCAGTCCACTGATGGGTTTGGCACAGTTCTGGTGGACAGGATGGGAAGGTCTCCTGGCTGAGTGCTACCCGCCCTGAGGGCCTACAGCCTGGATGGAATATTTGGGACAGAGAGCAGGCTGCTGTGCTTGCTGCTTTGCTGTCTCCCTCCTGCCTGCATGGACTGTTCTCTGTGATGCCCCTCTGCCATGCCATTCTGCCTTGAAGCCAGCCAACTGTGGACTAGAAGAAAAAAGTAAGACAGTCCCTTAGGAAAATAATTAAACTTCTCATTTTTTCCCACTAGATTTTCTTCCCATCGTGAGTCACTATAGTGTCCTTGAGGAAGGAGGATGGGTCTGGGTCCTTTCTTTAGTAGTCTTGTGGGAACACAGACGTTATCGGTATTGTCACAATGATGGCACTTTTCTTCGTTCCTTAGAATGACCTGATTTGCCTGCTTGGTCCTCAGCACAGACTCACTGTGGGTTCTGCTCTTCCTCAAGAGCCAGGCTGCCAGCCTGGCGCAGTAACTGTTGTCTTGCTGTAGGGGGGCAGGCTCAGAAGTGTGCACCGCACCGCCACACCCATCTTCTATGCTTTCTTGTGCACCTCTCCCGCCCCGCTGCAGCCCACCAGCCTGTCCTGTCCCCCACCAGCCAGGGATCTTCCAAAGCAGCAGGTGTGCTCTGCACACTCCAGTCAGGTCCCTCATCAGATGGCAGGAAACCTTCATGCCTCACTTCACGCTCAGCTCCTCTGCCATGCCACTGTCACCTCCGATGGGTGGGACAGGCTGCAGTCCCGCACCCCTCAGCTGCCAGGCACTCTGCTCTGCCCAGAAGCCCACACATCCTCTGATCCCACCCCCACACCCCAGCAACAAGCCCAGCTGATCACCCCTTTCCTCTCCTCTCCCCTCCTGGGAGCCTTCCCTCCCCACAGCTGGTGGCAGTGCCCCTCTAGTCCCCAGCAGCCGGCATGGTGCCACAATGCCCCGAGTGAGACGAGATGTTCTGGGCTGTGCTGTCCATCCGAGGCAGAGCCTCCTAAGATGCGGATCTCATGGGAGCAGAGCCGAGCCCTGCCTCCTGGGAGCAAACACCAGGATGAGTCTGCGATGTGGGTGGATGTGACCGAGCCACGTGACATGACACACATTCTGTGGCTGTGTCCCAGGCTGACTGGTAACGCGGTCTCGGCTCCCCCGTGGCTCAGTAAGAACTTTTTTCTTTACAAATGTGGAATAAAGATGAAAATCAAAGCAGGCACGATGGCACACATCTGTAATGCCACCAATCGGGGAGGCTGAGGCAAGAGGATTGCAAGTGGGAACCCAGCGTGGCCAACTTAGGGATTTAGCAAGACCCTGTTTTAAAATTAAAAAGGGCTCACCACGAGTTGAAGGCCAGCCTGGACTACATAGCGAGATCGGTTTAGAGTGTAGCTTAGCGCAGAGGCCTGGATTCAATCCCTAGTACCACATAAAAAAATAAGAAATCGGAACATCAGCATCTCAGCCTTCTTTAAGAATTTGTTCTGAACAAGAGAGTTTTGCTTTGTTGTCTTGACTTTAATGCAAAATATATATATTTTTGACCTAACAAAGCTGCTTACAGGCCACGGCAGCCCACTGCAGCCCTGCCCTGGGAGGGCCCTCTGCCTCCTCGCTGGGCCCCTCAGTTCCTCTCCTCACAGCTGTCCCGCAGGAAGAGCAAATGGTCTCCCAGGGCCCCAGTCCAGCAGCCCACCACACACCCAGCCGCTGGCCTGCAGGCCTGTCGTCTTTGTTCTGGCCTCGCACTGATCTCCGTCTTGCCTGGCCTGGCCAGCTGCACAGGTGAAGAGCGGTGCGGCTGATGTGAGCATCTCCGCCTAGACGCTTTCACTGCACCTTCCTAGTGCTCATGCACTGAGCTACACGGCCCCTAGCTGGTGTGTGGCCCACGAGTGACCCACACATACCTTATTTTGTTGTTCTAGGGGTAGAACCCAGGGCTTTCAAACTGAGCGACATCCCCAGCCCTTTCTAATTTTGTATTTTGATTGCCAGGGTTTTTTTGTTTGGTTGGTTGGGTTTTTTTGGGTACCGGGGATCGAACTCAGGTCCTTGCACTTGTGAGGCAGGTTGTGGCACCACTGAGCTAAATCCCCGGCCCTAGTTTTTTATTTTGAGACCAGGCCTCACTGAGTTGTCCAGAAAGTCCTCCTGCCTCAGCCTCCCAGAGGGCTAGGATCACAGGAGTGCTACCACACCCTCTAGACATCAGTTTTTGTTCTGCTCCCTGGCCCTCAAGGGAGAGCCCCTCCCATTGCAGTCTGATTCCCCTCCTCTCTGCAGGATGAGCCCAGGCTTCTACAAGAATGTGGTGAAGATTCAGAAGCACGTCACCTTCAACCAGGTGAAAGGCATCTTCGGCTTCACTGACAGTGACTGTATTGGTAAGGCCCGCTGCCACTGTGGCCTCCATGTCCAGGGGAGGAGCAGAGCTCCGAGGACAACAGCTCTCTCAGCAGTGGCACCAAAGTTTGGCCGAGTGCCTGGTCTTCATCTGCTTGGGGACCCAAGCTGCTCTGAGACCCACATTGCAGGGGATCCCTGAGCAGAGCGTCCTGAAATGTCAGGCACTTTTAGGAACACAAGGGTTCCTCTGCCCAGTCACTGCTGTAATGCTTGGAAGGGGAAGGAAGGAAACAGGCTCCTGCACTTGGCCCACACTCGGAGCCGGGCTTGGGGGAAAGGTGGTCATGGTTGGAGTGCCAGTAGGGTGGGGCAGTGGGAGGGTCCCAGAGCGAAGCCGCAGTGCGCAGGTGCTAAGGGTGTGCAGTGTGAGAGCCCCGCACTTTGTTCCCTGGGACAGTGTCTGTGCTGTGTGCAGCGCTCGCTGAGCCTGAGCACCGAGCAAGGGGAGCCCCTGGGGACTGCCAGGCCTCCCCAGAGACAGTTAACCCTGGACATGGGTGTCCTCTCTGAAGCAGCTAGAAAAGTGTCCAAGGGCAAACTCCCGATAGTTCAGTTCATTCCTTAACATGGAATCCCGCATTCTGATGAGCTGGGCAAGAGGGTGTGATTTTACAGACCCCAATGCCTCCAGAAGTCAGAGACGACAACCACAGAACGAGGACAGGTCACTTCAGAGTGGGGACAGGAAGACAGGACAATAGAAAATAACGGACAGGCCCACATGAAGTTTGTTCAGGCGACATTTTTTGTGTGGCACCTAAGGCAGAGGCCCTCACTGCCGAGTGGCACTGGCCTGCGGGAATCTAGTCCTCCAGTCCTGGTTTCTTGGATGGTCAGATAAATAGCTTGGTTCCTGCAGGAACTTGATCGATAGCGACTCCACGACCTGCTGGGTGCTGGTACACGGGCTCTGTCAGCTCTGGTGGCCATCACCTCCCTTGAGAAGGAGCCACACCCACTTTGGGGGCAGGCAAGGATCCCACCTTGACAGTGACAGCAGCACGCAGCCATTTTGCATCATTTCTGACAGCTGGAGAAGGGAGCGGCCTGTGTGCCACAGGCCTGAGGGTGGCCAGAGCACAGACAGAAGGGCAGATTTACTAACCACAGGGACGGTCGGAGGGAAGGGCAGGGGGCGCTGGTCAGTGTCCTCACCGCCAAAGCATGGGACAGCAGGGACGGGGAAGGCCAAAGGCAGGCAGAGTTGCTCTTCCTGCGACCTCTGCGGTCTCGGCCCTTAGTGAGATCCGCTCGCTGCTCAGCTCAGCTGTGTGTGAACCTTGTCTCTGTCCTGCTTGCAGGGAAGATCAGCTTCCCCGCTGTGCAGGCAGCGCCCTCGTTCAGCAACTCCTTCCCGCATATCTTCGGGGACCGGGCGGACCTCCAGTGCCTCATCCCCTGCGCCATCGACCAGGTCAGTGGGAGCTGGGCTGAGGTGTGGGCATGAGCTCTGCATGGGCTCAGCCCCACCCGCTCAGCCGGCCTCTTTCCCCCCAGGACCCGTACTTCCGGATGACCAGGGACGTCGCCCCCAGGATCGGCTACCCTAAGCCAGCACTGCTGCACTCGACCTTCTTCCCGGCCCTGCAGGGCGCCCAGACCAAGATGAGCGCCAGTGACACCAACTCCTCCATCTTCCTCACCGACACGGCCAAGCAGATCAAGACCAAGGTGAGCACACGGCCGCGAACTCACACGTGCTGCCTGCTGCTCCTGCCCTGCCCAACCCTGACGAGGTGGGCTGTTCTGGGCCCCAGACTGCAGGGCATTGGTTTTGTTTCTTTTCATTTAGGTAAAAACCTGAGTGCTTTATTTTTTCCCCCTTTCCTTACTTTTTTCCTGCCTTTTTTACCAACACTTTGGCAGCGTCATAGTCAGAGACCATTATCAAACAGTCCGGCGTCTCTGTCTGTTCCAAGACCAAAGTACTGAACAGGTGCCTGATCCTGTTTTAAAAAAACAAACAAACCCTGCTCACACTCAGCTCGGCCCCTGGACAGAATCTCCACACTGGGCAAGATGGAGGGCAGAAGTAGCAGCTGAGGAGAGCAGCGAGGCCCAGAGGCAGGCTGGGTGGTCTGGGGCTGTGAGACGCTGGGCCAGGCTGGCTGTCCTCTCTCTCTCGTGCCCTGGGGAATGAACCCTGGGCCTTTGCACTGAGCCGCATCCCTGGCCCTTCTGTTTTTAGTTTTTGTGTTGAGACAGTGCCTCATTAAGTTGCTCTGTTGCCCAGGCTGGACTGGAACTTGGAGTCCTTCTGCCTCAGCCTGCTGGGGCTTCTCAGCATGCATCAGAGCTCTACACAGAGCGCCTCTGTGACCGCTTCGTGGGCTGTTTCCCATCCAGAGCTCTCACAGACACCAGCTGTCCCCTGACCCAGTCCAATTCCAATGCGCCGCTGCCCTCCCCAAGCTTCTACAGGTCGCATCGCAGGTGAATTCTTCGGAACCCTGGTCCAGCACTGCACACCCTGGGGGTGGGGTGAGAGGCTGGGCCTTGGGCTGCCACCCTCTTCCTCTTCAGCCCCTCCTGAGGGATGTGGGGCCCCACCCTGTCCTTCACAGGCAGAAACTCGGGAACTGCCAGCACAGCCTGAATCAGACACTCCCCTCACTCGGGATGTGGCCAGGGTTCAAGAAACTGGGTACCAGGACAGAGCATTTAACAAGGGAATCTCAAGGGGTCTGGGAGCTGTCAAGAGCCAGGAGCAAGTACCAAGCACACCTCCTGCTACGCCACGAGACTGTCATTGCCTGTGTTGGCCAGGGACCTTCGCTGTCCAGGCTCATTTGTGAAGCGGAGTCGCACTGTCCTTGCTGACGTGAGACAGCGCTTGTATGAGCACGATGTGATGAGCGTGTGCGCAGTACAGAGTGTGCCCCAAACGTACAACTTTAGTTGGAAGAGGAAGCGCTGGACAGTACAGGGTGATGAAACCCACCTCCTCAGGGCTTCGGGTGGGACCACCATGGCAGCCCTCTACATGCAGAGCTTACACACCTGTAACCCCAGCCCCCTGGGAGGCTGAGGCAGAAGGATCTCGAGTTCAACCCCAGTCTGGTCAACTTAGCAAGATCCTGTCTCAAAATCAAAAGGGCTGACTGAGGGTATAGCTCAGGGTGGAGTTCCAGGTTTGATGTTTGATCCCCAGTCCTACCCACGAAAAGATGTGGATCCACTCGTTCTCAGTCACACACATCTGTGCGGCATGATCATGATCAGCGGCACCCTCTCCGGCACCCTTTGATAGCCACAGGCCTGGGCACCCTTCCAGCACGGCCCTGCCCAGCTCGAAGGCCTTGGTGGCTGGACCAAGTCTGCCCTCCATGCAGGTGCCCTGCTTGGCCTCACCTCCTTCCCATGGTCCCCTGGGTTGGGTGTGTCTCATCCACTGCCATCGCTCAGTGGCCGCATCCCAAGCCCACCCCAACCCAGGCCCGAGTTCTCTATCTCCTGTGAGCAGGGTCTTCCAGCGGGTTCCCACCACACAGGAGACCTCAGCCACTCGGGACTGAGTCTGCACCTGGGGCCTATGTGCCTGGCTGGCACTCCCGCCTCATCCAGTGCAAGGTGAAGGTGGGGCAGAGCCCAGGGCTGATGGTCAGCATTTCCTCATTGCTACAGCCCACGGCCACTGTTTGCAGCAGCCGCTGTGCGCCCCTGCTGGATGAGGAGTCAGTGCAGAGGCCACCTTGCATGCCAGGCCTGGACTGTATCTCCTGAGGCTGTGATGGCCTTTACTGCTGCCTGCCCAGGAGCACACAGGGCCTGGCCTCAGTGTCTGACCCCAGGCAGATGCCTGTGCCTGTCACACCCCACCTGCCCCCAACCACGGTGACCTCAGAATTCCAGGCTTTTTCTTTCCTTTTACTTCATATTTTCCACTTGAATAAATGCATTTCTTTGTTTTATAACTTCTTTAGGGAGGTGGTAGGGATTGAACCCTGGGCCACCTGCCTCTCAGGACAATGGAGATGAACCTCCTCTGGTAGTCTCTCTCCTCTCAGCCCCCAGTCACCCCAGGAGGTTGAGGCAGAATTTCTTGAACCCTCCCGCCTCAGCCTCTTTGGTACTACAGGTCTGGGCCACCATACCCAACTCCAGTTGTTAGTTTCTGCGTTTTTTCCTCAGTACCTAGAACTTCACCTGTTTCTGGGTGGAGGTGGTCATAGGCCCTCTGCCCCCTCACATTTGGTGGGTTTGGTATCCCCTTAGTGGCCATCTTCCTGCCCTCTTCTCACTTCCCCGCTGGGGTCAGGTGCAGCTTTTCTGTCACCTGTTGACCCAATGCCGCCCTTCCTGGCCAGTCCCCTGCTCAAAGGTGACTTTGCTGCTTCATTTGTCTGGAGCTCCTCACCTAGGAATGCCAGGACTCAGCACATTTGGGTTTCTGACTGAGCTCCCGTGGCTCTGGGGCATGGAGGCTTCCGCACCTTCTGGCCTCCCACCATGGCCTGTCAGCTACCACACCCATCTGGCCTGGGCCCCGCCCAAGGAGGACGTGCAGTGACTGGCCCATGCCCCTGTGTGCAGGTCAACAAGCACGCATTCTCAGGAGGCCGGGACACCGTGGAGGAGCACCGGCAGCTCGGGGGCAACTGTGATGTGGACGTGTCCTTCATGTATCTGACCTTCTTCCTGGAGGATGATGACAGGCTAGAGCAGATCAGGAAGGTGAGCGAGCCGAGCAGACCCCAGCAGAGGTGGGCCGGTGCAGGCTGCTTCGGTGTGCGGCACACAGCTTACGGGTGGGTTAGCGGGGCCACTCACTGGGGTGCCCATGTGAGGAGAGCCACACGGGAGCTCTCTGAGCAGCTCGGCTGTGGGGTACAGAGCCCCGAAAACGCTCAGCACCTTGGCCTTGGGTTTTCTGAGTCTTGGAGTCTTTTCCAAGGAAATGATACGGAATAAAAGCTTCCCATTTAAAGGCATTGGGACAAACTGTACAGCTGAGGGGATGTTAAAAAAGAACCATTGCAGGTGGATTATTATGCAAGTGTGAGCTACTTAAGAGAGTTTTTTAGCCAGATGTGGTGATGCATATTCATCATCCCAACTTCTCAGGAGGCTGAGGCAGGAGGATCAAGTGTTCAAAAGCAGGAGCATTTTAGTTTGTGTAAATAAGAAGTACCAAGGGCTGGGCAGGGGATTTAGTGGTGCCACGCCTGCCTTGCAAGCACAGGGTCTAGTACCAAGGAGCTGAGTCTGAAGCTTACTGGTAGAGCACTTGCCAGCACGCACCAGACCCATCAGCACTGCAAGAGAAGAAAGGAAGGAAGGAAGTTCCCCAAAGCTAGGAGTGGCCACCGCGCCTGGCTGGTGAACTGCAGGCAGCTGTACCTCCCATGCTCTGTGGTTGCGTCCCTTACCTAAGCAGGGTGCTCACGACTGGGGGGAATCGGGGGGGATTTCCTGGGAGCTGGGAAGGCTGAGCGGGTCGGGCCGTGGCCCCTCACGAGTGTGTGGCTCCTTCCACAGGACTACACCAGCGGCGCCATGCTCACCGGCGAGCTCAAGAAGACCCTCATCGACGTCCTGCAGCCGCTGATCACCGAGCACCAGGCCCGGCGCAAGGAGGTCACCAACGAGGTGGTGAAGGAGTTCATGACCCCCCGGCAGCTGTCCTTCCACTTTCAGGGATGCTCGTCCTCTGGTGCCCGTGACACCTAATTTGTCACAGTCCGGGCATGGCCCAGTCAGCCCCACCTCCCCAGGGGCTTCTGGTGTGTGATGTCCGTGCTTCCTCCTTCCCTCCCTCCTTCCTGTGTGGGCTCGGAGCTGTAGGTAATCAGTGCTGGCTCACGTCGTGGGGTCAGATAGGGAAGCGGCCCAGAGAGAGCCACTGGGGCCCCAGATGCAGCCTAGGTCTGCTCCGCAGGAAACGGCTCTGTGTATGAGTGAACCAAAGTGTTGTTACTCGAGGACTGGACGGTGCTGTAGGAAGGTGACTGGGGAAGTTTCGTGGCCCGAGATGTTTGGGCCCTGAGAAGCAAACTGACCTAAGAGCTTCACTGAGCAGGTCGGCTGGCTGCAGCTGCGCAGCAGAGCAGCCAGGTCACCGTAGGGCCGCAAGAAAGAAGTCAGCCTGCCTCTCACTGCTTTGAAATGGCCATGGGTGGAGCGGGGCAGCCTCACTGGGTCCTGTGGCCCAGCTCCCGCTGGCTTTAGTGGACTCCAGGCCACACACGTCATCCACTCCAGGAATCACGCTCATTTACCTAACTTGCCAACTTCCCAGCAAATAACCCAGCACTCCAGCTGCAGGATCCAAAGTCCGCTTTCCCAGAGACACTAGAACAGCCTGTTACCTTTGCAGACACTGTTTTGTTTTGACCCTCGACCACAGTGGAAGTCAGCACAGAGCAGGGCCTGGCCAGGCTGGGCTGGTGGACCTAGCTAGAGTCACACTTGGCTGCCCCAGCTCCGGGCCTCCCAACCCCACCCCGCATATGCGAGCTCTGGTCAGGAACCTGGACCCGGACTAGGCCCACACTGCGGTGCTCTGCCCCCGACCTCACGGTTAAATAAACTTCTTTGTTCCCAGCCATGTCCTGTGTTGTGCTCAGCGCCACGCAAGCTGTCTGCAGCTGAGGGCTGCAACCAGGCCCCTACCCTGCCAGGCCCCAAGTTGTACGGGTGACTGGGAGGGAGCTGAGCAGCAGCCTGGTGGCGAGTGCAGTGCACCTTAGGGGTGGCAGGGTGCTGGGCAGAGGTGGGAGAAGGTGACTCAGGGCTCACTCTGCAGCCAACACGCTTTCCAAGTGGGGAACTGAAGCTCTGAAAAGGGACCGTGACTCATCCGAGGTACCCTTCCTGCAGCATTGCTGCCCCGGGACAGCAGCAGGAGCCAGGTGCCACCAGCACAGTGGTCACAGACAGGTTGCTGGGTCACTAGGCCCTCTGACCGGTGTCTGGTTCTCAGTCGGCCCAGGGGTGGGCAGGGCTCTGTGAAGGTGTGAGGCCAGGTGACCATGTCTCAGACCAGACACGGGAGCAGCCACCCTGGGCCTGGGAGAAGGAATTCCTCTCCGCCAGGCTTGGGACCATGGTCGGTCTGCCGGACACTTCCTCAGAGGGCCGTGTCCGACCTGCCATCCTGGCCCCAGGACCCTGACCCTCACTGGCGGTAGATGTCCAGCCCAAGCTGCTGCGTGCCCGGGGAGGTGCCCTCAGCCTCCTCATCCCCCCAGCAGGGTGGTTCTGCCAGGGCCCGGGCCTCTGCGGGGTGGCACACTAGCCCGGGGTGGGAGGGCTCGGCCATCAGGAAGAGCTGCCAGGCTTCAGAGGACTTTGGGGGACTGGTCACCATCCCCAACAGACCACAGTGCAGCACTGCAGGGCATCCTGGGAACATTTTATTGACCACAGCCTGAGCCTCGCCTGGCAGACACTGCACTTGGGCAGTGATGGTCCTGGGCAGGGCAGGACCAGGTGTCAGCCCAGTCCAGATGTCAGCCTGGGCTAGGCAGGACACAAGCTGGCCTAGAGCGCGCAGTCCCCAGACTGGCAGGGCCTTGAGGGAAGGGCAGGTCAGTGCAGGGCTGAAGTGACAGGAGCAGGCAGGAACAGATGACAAAATGACAGTTCCACGTGGCACCCTCATCCGAGAGCCATGCCTTCCTGAGGGCCTAGCCACCCCTGGCTGGGGAGAGTTGGCCCAGCTGCCTGGCTGCGCCTTCGGAGGGAGCAGCGACATCAGCTCCTAGGTGCACAGACCCCTGCTGAGCCGCAGCACAGCCTCGTAGGCCACGAAGACCACCATGTTGACAGGGAAGGCGCGGCAGCAGTTGAGCGCCAGCCCCTTGAACAGCACCCTCAGGCCCTCCTCGCGCACGCTGCTCACCACACAGTGCAGGAGGCCCCGGTAGCGGCGCGGGCCCCTCCCGTCTGCCTGCAGGCGTGACTTGATCACGTCCATGGGGGTGGCCACGGCCCAGGCCAGGACCCCTGCACAGCCACCGGCCACCAGCACGCCCGCCACATCTGAGGGGAGACACAGACTCGCTCTGCCACCTGCCCCGCCCGGGTCCCCGCCGCCCCATCCCCTCACCTGGCTGGCTGTGGCCGGGGGCTGTGAGCCACTCGCAGAGGATGGCATAGGAGAGGAAGTAGGTGGCGAAGGAGTGGACGTCCCGCAGGAGCAGGGCGGAGCTGCCCTTGTAGAGGCCCCGGAACCCCTCCTCACGGGCCACTGTAACCAGGCAGTGTAGAGGCCCGCGGTACTTGGGCCCAGGATCAGTGCACGCAGGGGGCCCAGGACACACAGGAGGGGCGGCTGCAGGCCACGAAGCCGAGGGGCGCCTCATCTGCGTCTGCGTCTGCGTCTGCTTCTGCGTCTGCGTCTGCAGGCGCACCTTGGCCACCTCAGTGGGCGAGGTCAGGAACACCTGCACGGGGAGAAAGAGGCTCCTGGACCTCGGTTTGCTGGCCTCCAGCTGTTGAGGAGCCTGGGCACCAGGGATGTGGGGTATGGGGGTGCTGGCACCTGGCCTGGCACAGAAAAGGGGGAAGGAATCGTGTGACTAACTGCAGGTCATGGCTGTAAGCACTAATACAGGTGTCACCAACGATGCCTGCATGCTCATGCCGGCCCGCGGCCCCTCAGAGGAGGAGAGGGAGCTGCGAGTCCCCCGTGGCCCCAGCCTCAGCCTTTGCTTTTGTTTCCTGCACAGCTCATGGCCCCAAGGTGGCCGATGAGTGACCACGAGAGGACTGGGTGCTCCCTGAGGGCAGCATTGGCCTCCTCGCTGTCCATCCTAGGTCTGCCCTGGGCTCTGGGGGTGCAGAGAGGCTCCATCTCCATGGTAACCGGGCATCCCGGGGCCCATGCTGGAGAACGATCCCTCACGGCCGGCCCCGAGCCGCTGGGCCTGCTCTGCCCCAGGTAACGCCCTGTCTTGCCGGCCAGGAGGGACCCTTAGGCCGTCCCCTCCGCCCCACGGCACCGTGGGGCAGAGGAGCGGGCCAGGGCCTGGCACCTCCCCAGGATGCCCCCTGTCCCCACTCACGCGGACGAGACCAGAGGCACATCCCGACAGCGTGATGTCTGCCTTGGCGGGCTTGGCGTCCGCGCTGCCGTACCGGAAGCGACAGGTGTGTGCCAGGCAATGGCGGTAGGTGCCGAAGGACACGGAGGAGACCAGTGACACGGTGCACACAGGCAGCGAGAGGCCACGGTAGAAACCCCACACCTGGGGGACGGGCGGGCCAGGTCAGCCGGGCCTGGCCATGCTGCCCCCTGCCAGTCACCTGCTGCCTCAGTTTCCCCTGTGGTAAAATAGGGGTCATAGTGCCCAGTCATGGTGAGGGACTGAAGAGACAGGTCAGGCTTGGCCAAGACAGCAGCTGGTGATGAACCAGATGCTCCATCATTGTTGATGTTTTTGTTTCTTTGGTTTTTTGGGTGTGTGTGTGTGTGTGTGTGTGTGTGTGTGTGTGTGTGTGTGAGTGTGTGTGTGTGTGTGTGTGTGTGTGTGTGTGTGTGTGTGTGTTGGGTATCTTTTGAGAAAAGGTCTTGCTATGTAGCTCAGGCTAGCCTCAGACTCACAGTGATCCTCCTGCCTCAGCCTCCTGAGTTCTGGGACCACAGGTGTGCACCACCACGCCTGACTCTCATTGCTGTTTTTCTTGAGTGAACTAAGCCCCTGTCTCACAGGGCCCTTTCTGTATGTGTCACAGGTCCCCTAACAAGACTGAGCCCTGAGCAACCTCGGGGTGCTGTCTGGTTCACCCTCCAGGGAAGATCTGGGAGGGACAGAAATGGCCCTCGCTGTGAGCCCCTCTGCAGCCACAGCCCTGGCACCCAGCCCAGGCCTACCCGCTCCCGGCGGTACGTGTCCCAGATGCAGTGCCAGAGGCCGGTGTACCTGGGCTCTGTCTGGATCCTGACCTGGGGAGACAGAGGCTCAGGCAGAGCAGGGTTAGCGAGCCCTGCAAGAGGGGAGACCAAGGCATGGGGGCCTCACGCACCTTCACTGTGTCCAGGGGGTAGCCCACAGCCACGCCGCAGACACCTGCAAGGAGGCCCGGGTGAGCCCACGGGAGCAGACCCCAAACCCAGCTCCCTGGGCTTGCCATCCCGACAGCCCAGGCGCCCCAGCCACCCCTTCCCAATCCTGCACAGTGGTGCCAGTCCCACCGTCCCATGCCATGTCCGTGCCACACATCCCTGGGGGCGTCCGCTGCAACAAGCTGGCCTAACCCTTGCCAAGCTCCCCCACCTGGTACCCCCAGCCTCTAGTCAGCCCATGCCGAGAGCCAGTGGCCAGCAGAGTGAGGGGCCCAGCCCATGCAGGCTGCCTGGACCACGCATGCAGGTAGAACAGAGTGGGCACTGCTGGGCGTCGCCAGGGGCCACATCAGAGGCCTGGGCCCAGGGAGGCCACTGCACGGCACAGGTGAACCTTGGGGCCTGGTCTCTTCCATGTCTGCTTCCTGGCCATGAGCTGGGCACTTTGCTCCCCCAGACCCTCTGGCCGGGCACCAAAGCAACATTCACAGCCGTGTTCAGACCCCAGCTGCCAGCCCAGAAACCTGTCCTTCCAGGCTACCGCCGGAGCTTTTCATCACAGAGACGAAAGCTGTCGCAGATTCAGTGGTGGCTGTACCACGCCTCCTGTGTCCCAGGATGCAACCATGGCAGAATGAAGGAATTGGGGCTGAAATCAACCAAAAGCTGACTAGCAGTGTGGGCAGAATGACTTTCCTTGAACCTGACATACACCTCACCAAACTCCTACTCATCCATCAGAGCCCTGCAAACACTGCACTACACCACCTCTGAATCCCTCCCTAACTCCACACTCCAGGCTGCCTCTGTGCCTGGAAACACGTCGAACAGAGCCCTTGTCACATGGACTTAATGCTGCAACCCCCAACCATATCCACCTCCAGAGTTAGAGTGCCTGAAGGACAAGGCCCAAGTCTGCCCCATCACCCAGAGTCAGGCACAGAGTGAACCCTTCAACCCAAGCCTTCCTGACAGAGCCTTTCCTGGCCCTGGGACCTCCTCCCCGGACTGGGGACGCAGCCAGCCCTGGGGCACAGGTCAGCCCTGGGCTCTACGTGGGTGCTGTTCCCAGAAGTTGCCAGGCCTCCCCTGTGGTGTCACAAGAGCAGGCTCAAAACAGCTCCGCAGCCACAGGGGGCAGTGGGAGGAGCGGGGCTGCCCTCGCCTGTCCCCAGGGGCAGACCCTCCCAGCTGGGCCTCCACAAGGAGCCAAGCTGGAGAACCGAGGGTCGAGGACTCAGCCCAGCAACCCTGGGCAGGGCCAGGTCCCGGGGGCCCTGACCTCTCAGGTGCTGTCCCCCTCCCAGGCCACCCCACCTCCATCCCTGCCTCCGGCCATGTCCCTGCCAGGCTCCAGCAGCCTGCCCTCTCCTCTCTGCCCTGGCCCCCCGCTGGGGAGCCCTGAGCCCCGCTGCTGCCCAGCTCCCCACTACCTCCGATGGCTCCAGCCACGAAATCCATGGACAGCACGGATGGGAGGCTGCTTACTGCCTGTGTCTGTGCCACTGGGGGTGGCCTCCCAGCCTCGGTCCCCACAGTCCTTAAATACCTGCACAGGGAGGTAGGGAGCAGCCTGGTCGATGCCCACGCCCTCTACCCCACAGCTGCCTCCTGACCCCTGTCCCAATGCCCTCAGTGTCCAGGAGGTCACAGGAGGCCCCCAGGCAGGGCCGCTGTCCCCACCACTGACCCCTGGACATGTCAGATGCCCCTGGGAGGCCTGGAAAGGGGAACCTGACAGTCTGGGACCTCCCTGACCCCCCTGAATTGTTCAGGGCTCCTGGCTTAGTCATTGAGCAAACACTTTCTTTGGGACAGGGTCTGGCTATATAGTTTAGGCTGACCTTGAACTCATTCTGTTTTTGTTGGCTTTTTCATTTGTGTCTGTGTTTTTTTGTTTTGTTTTGTTGGTACCAAGGATCAAACTTGGGTCCTTGTGCTTTTGAAGCAGGCAGCAGAAGCACTGAGCTAAATCCCCATCCTTGTCAGTGTTTTATTTTATTTTTTGAGACAGGGTCTTCCTTTGTAGTGTGGACTGACCTTGGACTCACTGTGTAGCCCAGGCTGGCCTCAAACTTGCAGCGATCCTCCTGCCTCAGCTTCCAGAGTGCTGGAAATACAGGCATGCGCCACCACGCCCAGCACCAACAGACATTTTCTGGACTAGGGCTGCCACAGGTAGAGACTTGGCCCTGTCCTCAGGGGCTTCAGGGAGGGGTGATGGGTGGCGGGAGCCCTCGGGCAGGACCTGGGGTATGGGAGGTCAGGTGTCTGGCTGTTTACCTGCACTGGTCTGGGAAGGGGCCTGGGGCCGCCACGTCAAGGGGGCAGAGAGCAGAAGCAGAGGCACCTGTCAGGCCCCGTGCTGGTCTGGAGTTGCTGCACACCTGTGTCCCGGTCCTGTGGGAGGTTGAGGCACGATACAGAGTGCAAGCCCAACTTGGAACCAGCAACTCGGCGGGACCATGTCTCAGGGTAGAAAATAAAAACTGCTGACACCAAAGGGTTGCTCCAAGCCCCACATTCCATCCCAGCCCCCAGAGAAGGCAGACAGTGGGAGGGAGAGAGAGTGGCCCCCCATTGTGCCACCCTAGCCCGAGACCTTGGGCTGGGCAAGCTCAAGCGCGTCCTAAGAGAGCCACCAAATGCTACGGCTGCATTAACGGAAGCGCGGGGTCTGGAAGGAAGGAGGTGACTCAGCAAGGTGCAACACAGCTAGGTTTTGGGCTCTGCCATCCCTGCTGCACTGAGGAGCGGGAGCTTGGGTGGCCACCCAGGCACCTTTCTCTCTTGGCCCCACATCCAGAGTCCCCGGCCCAGGGATTGACCCCTAGAATCCACATTGTTCCCTGGGATCCCACGCACCCTGCACGTGCCACAGGGCTGCCACGGGCTGGGCACCGTGTACTCCGCACACTCCCTGCCCTGGCACCTGAGGTGACAGAGGGAGGTGGGAAGCAGGAAATAAACAGGCGGGGGCGGCAAGGGCAGCTGTGGGGACAGGAGCGTCCCTGGCCAGCAGGCACGGTCCAGCTGCCCTTTGCTCCCACACAGGCCCAGCCTGGTCACCTCTCACTGCTTCCGGCCATAGGGCAGAGGGCTGGGACCAGGCAGGATGGCACCTCCGAGGCTGGGTAGGCCCAAGGGAGGACACAGCAGGCAAAACCAGCAGAGGAGAACAGAGGGAAGGCTGGGCAGATGGACAGGAGCTGGACAGAGGGATAGACGGCCAATACAGGAGCAAGAGGGCCTCTGTGCAGTGTCTTCAGCACCACTGAAGAGGAAGCAGCAAAAGAACCTTCGGGATTAACCACGGCATGAAAGCTCCACCAACCACAGGTAAACTCTGGGCCCTGACTGTCGGGCAGGCTTAGTACACAGCACCCACTGTTAGGGTCGTACTGTGTCCCTGAGGTCCCAGGCTTGTTCCTGGTCTATCACTAAAAGTGCACCTCAAAATCAAGCGTAGTGGCACACATCAATAATCCCAGCACTTGGGAGGCTGAAGCAGGAGGGTGGCTGTGAGTTCAAGGTCAGCCTGAACTACACCCAAAAAACCCCCTGCTTCTCTAAACACACTTTGGCAGCTCTTCTGCATTGGTGAGGAAGGGAGACAGCTAGGTCAAACATAAACTGGTCTGTTGTTGTCAGGGACGCCAGAAAGCAGGAATGCAGTTTTGCCAAGGAGTAGAGGGCTGAAACTCTCACAGGCAGACAGCAGCCAACTCTCTCCATCCTCGGTTTTTATTAGATACCTGCACAATACTTCCATGAGAATCAACAGTCAGTCCTTACAGATTATCTCTAGCAAAGCATTAGAAAATATTTAGTCACGGGTTCTCAATATGCTGAATTCACTGTCCAAAATATTGAAACAGCTACTATTGTTGAGAGTGGTCCTACTCTACATCATTTATTTATACAGTTATAACTATAACTATTGTTACATATTAGAGAAAACCCTCTCTTTATTACCCATATTAGAGCTCGTACCAAATTACCTGGCCCCATGGCCAAAGGTAATGATACTGTTGATCAGTTGCTTGTAGGTTCAGTTCTTCATCATGCTAATGCCCGTAATCTACGCTCTCAATTGTCATTAACATAGCAACAGGCTAAAGATATTATTCGGCAATACTCCATTTATGCACAAATAGTTACACCTCACGTGCACCTGGAGTTAATCCCAGAGGCATGGCCTCTAATCAGATTTGGCAAATGGATGTCACTCATACTCCAGAATTTGGCAAATTAAAATATGCACATACACAGTCGATACCTTTTCAGACTTTACTTGGGCCACGGCCCTCAGTTCTGAAAGGGCTGATGCAGCTATTACTCATTTGATGGAAGCCTTGAGTATAATGGGAAAGCCAATGAATTTAAAACCTGATAATGGCCCTGCTTATACGTCTATTAAATTCAAAAAATTTTTCCTGGCCGGGCGTGGTGGCACAAGCCTGTAATCCCAGCACTGGGGAGGCTGAGGCAGGAGGGTCACTGTGAGTTTGAGACCAACTTGGGCTACACAGTGAGTTCCAGGAGAGTCTGAACTACATAGTGAGACCCGGTCTCAAAAAACAAAACAAAACAAAAAAATAAAAAATTTTTACAAACTTATGACATTGAACATACAACCAGTATACCCTATAACCCTCAAAGTCAAGCAATAATCGAACGTGCTAATTGCACTTGGAAAGAGATGCTGCAAAAACAAAAAGGGGGAATGATGTGGGGAACAGTACGACAAAACTATCTCAAGCTTTATTTACTCTTAATTTTTTGAATGAGGCACCTGACGGGCACACAGCAGCTGGATGCCACTGGCAAATCCAAGAATCTAAGGAGTTAGATCGACCTCCACTCGAGAAAACCTGGCTACCAGCCCGGGTTGTGAGGTGGGGCCGAGGTTATGCTTTAATTTCCACAACTGATGAGAAATTTTGGGTCCCGACTTGAAACATAAAACTGAAGAATGAGCCAGAAACCAAAGTCTGATGCTCTGGGAACCATGGAAGACGTGGAATGCATGTGTATTGGTGTCCAGTGTTTCCTGTGACTCTTCCGCGGACTCAACGCGCTCCACTGCCTACCTGGGGCCAAATTAAAAAGTTAAGTGATGAAGGTCAATGAAGAAGCCCATAGACTGAAAGCGAAAGGATGGAAAACAATTCTCCATGTGACAGGAGCCCAGAAAAAAGCAGGTGTAGCAGTCTTATTTGCAGACAAAGCAAATTTCAAACCAAAACTGATTCTAGTATTATTGATGTAGGACGGTACTGTATCATACCTCTGTGAATGTAAAATATCTTGAACCTGCTTTATGATACATAGTAGTGGCTGTGCTTTATCAGAGCTACATTTAATGATATTACTCTAGAATGTTCTCTTTCCAGATGATGATTAAGATGCTAATAAAAAAATGGTGCCAGGTACCACAACAGCAACAGAACTTTGCTGTTTTCTGGATAGTGTTCTTTTCTTTGTTTATTGGGGTTTTTTTGTTGTTTTTTTTTAATGAAATGTGGTGAATGTCTATAATTTTGTTCAGATGACTGCAGAACCTGGAAAAGCTGTGGCTGCTATCGATGTATAACATACTGCTATTATTAGTCTTTTTATATAAATATATATATATATATACATA